TCTGCATGGTCCATTTTGTGTGTTTTATGTCATACAATTTTAACTAGACCTAAAGAAATAGTAAGATATTAAAGGTGTCATGTTTATTCATGCTCAAATAACCAGAAAATGCATAATAGAAAAAATGTAAATAAAAATAACACAACCCCATTATTAGAACACAGATTATGGAAATCATATTAGAAGTGAATCGGAATTAAATCAAAATGAAGTTACACACGACGTCCGCAACAGGATCCTGAGGATTTTCATATGCAGCGAGGGGGATTGGGAAGTGGTGGCCGAGTGGTTAGGACATTGAGCTTGGAGTCCTGAGGTTCTAAGTTTGAGTCCCACTCCCACGGACTGCCACTCTGGGTCTCTGAGCAAGACCCTTAACCCCACACTGCTCCCTGGGTGACCACGATGGCAGCCCACTTCTCCCCAAGGGGATTGGTTAAATATAGAGGTTAAATTTCTCCAATGTGAGATCAATAAAGGTCAATTATAAAGAAAGAGACACTCAGATGGGTCTAACCCCTACAGAAAACCATAAATGTCTCTAAAGGCGCAGTCATGAACTAAACTCCGATAATCTACCTGTGTGCTTATTTCATATACCTGCTTTTCAATCTAAATCTGACTCATAATTTACACCATAAATTGTGTGTCCGATGAAAACTTTGGTAGAGAGGCATAGATGAACAATACCAGAGAGTGAGTGTCAGCGGTTCTAAAGCTGTTATTAATTAGATAAATAAAAAAGTAATTTCCTAATTGTTTCATAGCGGTTACATTAAGTAAGTAGACACGCCCATGGCAGCACACCTGAGCATTCTTCAACCCCACCACCCCTGGTTGCTGGTTTCCATGTTCCTGCCTAAATATCTGCAAAAAAAAACTGCATCTTTAAAATTAACTGCACTAACCAAGGCAAATTATTACAACTCTGTGAGTGATAGACAAGGAATCGCTTTCCCACCAGCAGCAGCAGTGTGGATGAATAACCATAGCTGGATCAGAGTCACAGCACCATGGATAGCACTGTTTGCTTAAAGTAAACCAACTGCGTACTACCATGGGTGCATCTTCCTCTATAAAGCCAAGTAAAATAAAGCAACTAATAAAAAGACTTCTTCTACTTAGTTAATATATAAATAAAATGTTATTTAGTCATTAAAGTACAGCTTGAATACAATTTTTTTTACAAAGAAATCTGTATGTAAACATCTTTATTGTGTGAGGAGAAATAGATAACTGTGTAAGTATCAGCCCGTCATAACTTTTCTCGTCTTAGACTGATCAGAACCTTTTTTTTGTTTACTTCTGAAATCTCTGTTTTAAACTGCTGATGAAGATTCTCAGTCATCCAGGTCATAGTCATTCCGTAAAAGTTTAAAAAATGTCAGACATTTGAATTGAAAAAGCTTCCTGAAGGGGAAGCAAAACGTCTTTAAACCTTGGAAACCAAGTCCAGTGGATTGTTTTTAATCTGTTTTAAACTATATTTGATCTAACCATGTTCCTGGTATGGTTTTAGAAAGATCTCAGCCCCAGATTTTTCCACATTGTGGGGGGTACACACCCGGGACACTGCCATGGATGCAGCGTATCGGGAGAGAAGAGGAAACATTATCCCAGATGAGAAAGTGAAAATGTGGGAGGCTTCCGAGAGCATTCTGAGGCAGCACATTTAAGTGGGACATACACAATTTTTGCAGTGCATGTACAACACATTTATTATTAATAATGGATTTATTGGAAATGTGTTCATTTGTTTTCCAGTGATAAGCTGAAAGACAACTCTGCTCTTATGCTGGAGATTGAGTCTCTGAAGAATCAGAACAGGGAGCTGCACCTTAAACTCAACATGTGATGGCAAACTTAAGTGGTAGCCACATAGAGCTGCCTGGGCCTTAGCTTCAGCTTAAGTGCATCTTGTTAATATATTTATTTTATTTTTTGTGATTAGTTGAACTGCTATGCATGCCATCACACTATCAACAGACATCATCAATTACTTTACTTAGCCTGGTATTTTTTATATATAGTGCTACTCCACCCCCTTTTTAGAGGTTCGTTTTTTTTGTTTACATACATCTATTCAATACGAAATTGTCATTCAGTTTATTATTTAGCCAAGTTTCAGAAATAGCAATGACCTTAAATAGATTATTAAGCTGATCTAAGTAGTCTTTGATGCTTTCAAAGTTAGTATTTAGACTGCAGCTGTTGAAGTTGATTACCGAGAAGGTTTCATTTGATTTGGTTAGAGGCAATTTTAAGTTGGAAAGTATTTACATTAATTTTCCTGTGTTTAAATAAAGGTTTCTGTCTGAGTCTATGTTGTTCTCATTGTATTATGCAGCTACTTGGTTGATGAGATTAGATAACTCCTTTCATCTCTAACTACATTATTCGTTGAAAGAAGTCAACTGCAAATATAAAAGATATAAAAAATATGTTGACTTTCTTTTTTCTTTGTATACTCTGAGGAATTTGGATCCCATTGAGCTGTCTCACTGAAGTAGGGTGGCCATTTCTATAGCACCAAAAAGGAGGACATTGTGCGGCATATCAATAAATTACTAAGGTGTACATAAGAATCGGGTAAAGTCACATTTATAGCACAATTCTTAGTAGTTTAAAGAGGATGCTTGTGTAGCTGAATAGAACAAAATATTAAAGAAATGTAAAAAAGAATTGCTTCCCAGCCTTTGTATTTATTTAATAAATTGTGGTGTTTAAAAAGTGACATTTTTTTGACAAAAACTGCAGAACTGCTGCAATT